CAGCTTTGGCTCCTAGCAGTGCACCTCACTTGGGAGGAAAATAAAAGTGGAACCGAATGGGTGGCTATCTGTCAGGTCACATACAGAGCTAGCTGGAACTTCGGCAAATTAGCTTGGCTAAGTCTCAAGGTTCTCAACTCAAAGGTAAAGGGAATTTGTTTTTTTTTTATTTTTTTTTATTTTTTTATTTTTATTTATTTCTAGGAGAGAGAGAGAGAGAGAGATAGCGTGAAGAGGGGAGGGTCAGAGAGAGAGGGAGTCACAGACTGAAACAGGCTCCAGGCTCTGAGCTGGCAGTCAGCACAGAGCCCGACGCGGGGCTCGAACCCACTACCGCGAGATCATGACCTAAGCGAAAGTCGGACGCTTAACCGACTAAGCCACTCAGGCGCCCCATAGGTAAAGGGAATTTGAACCACATCCTTTCTCTGTGTTCTTTGGGATGTCTCTTTTCTATGTCACTGGGGTGCTGTGAGGATAATTAGGCAAGGACTACAGAATATAATAAATTAAAAGATGTCATTCTTATAATCATCATTTATGGAATATTCCTCAGCTTGTATCTTAGGGAGCCGCTGGCATTATTAGTCACATTTTTCACCCAGAGAAGCAAAGAAATGGAAAGTGTTCCATACTTGAGAGCTAGAGTAGAGCTGTAGGTTAGGTTCTTAGTCCTTAGCTCACTGTTTATTTACCATACCCCTTGACCTTGTCTTTTGGGGAAAAGGAATCAATGGAAGAGATAAGATCAAACGTTGCAGCCTGGAGAACAGTTTCTGCTGAAAACCTTAAAATCAAAGAGGTATCAGTTTTGCCCAGAGAGAAGAGAAAATTCTTCACAAAGTTCTATTTTCCTATTTTTGTTTTTTTTGGCCATGTGTGTTTTTGTTCGTTGGAATTGCCATTTTCAAGTCTTATTAAAGATTGGCCATTTCATAATTTTTGCCAGAAGAACGGGAGTATATATAATGTTTTAAAAATGTATCTTTTGACTTGAAAATTATATACATTCATGTAGAATTTGGAAAGGAATATATAAAAGTATAAACAACAAGAAAAAAAATAACCATACCATTAGCACTCATAGATAATAGCTGTAAAGTTTTAGTTGAGTTTATTTAGTTGTTTGTTTCTTGCTAGTCTTTTTATATGTAAACTGGTGATTATACTTGCAACGTTTACACAAAGTATCTTCTTGGGGTCATTAAATACTCAGACCCACAGATAACCACATGCTCCATATGGCACTGGTCTACTTAGAAGGAACCATAGCTTGCCAGCAGGGAAGCATCATGTGCCCCTTTCCAGCACGTGTCCTCACAGTGGTCCAGCAGAGCAGTATAGCTCAGGTGCAAGAGACCATAGACATATCAGAGGATGCAGGAGCTGCCATGGCTTAAAAGCCTCCTGCCCTGTAGGAGTCAACATATGGTGCAGCGACTCCACAGACACAGCCTCCAAGGTCCCAGAGTCATTGTACTTAGAAATCATAGCACGGCACCCCCCCCCCCCCCAGTAATTCTAGTTCTCTGAGCCCAGATGCAATTCACCAATCAGGGGTTCATTTGGCCCAGCAACACAGTTGATACATCCCCCCTCTTTCCTTTTACTAGGGAAATAGACCCAGAAAATTAAGATAAGGTCAGATTCTCTTGCAAAAGGGAGAAAGATTTTATACGCAATACTACATACAATTTTTTAGACCTTAAAAAATTTTAACATTAAATCAAAAGCATGTTTCATTGCTATTAAACGTGTTTCAAAAACATGACTGCCTCATAATATATTTATACAATCCCCTAGTACTGTGTATTTAGCTAGTTCCAAGTTTTTCACTGAAACTATTGCCAAGATGAACATCCCCAAAACACAAATCCTTGTGTTTATATGAAACTGACTATTTCCTTAACATAAACTCAGGGAATGGAATTAATGGCTGAGTCTGAAACTTATCAACTTTTAATACATCTTTGACAAACTGCTCTTTAAAAAGAAAATAGCAGTTTACCCTTAGACTAGAACTGTATGAAAGTATCTATACCTTCAGCAACATGGCTATCTTTCTTTAAAACATTTGACAATTTTGTAGGGGGCAATGCTGTACTTGTAAAAACTACTTTTCTTTGGATAATTGATCAATTTAGAAATGTTTACATGCACACAGTCAATTTCTTGTTTTGTTAATTGTCTATTCTTGTCCTCTCCTGTTTTTATTTTGGGAAGCTCATTTTTTTTTGAGTATTAAAGATATTTACATTTGAGTCTTATATGCTATAAAGGTTTTGCAGTCTTTACTTTTTCTTTTGTTAGAAATGCTTATTTTTAGGTAGAAATATCTATCAATCATTTTCTATATGCTTGCATCAATATTTGAAAGTGAGATTGTTTTTGCTATTGAGGGTGCTTTTGTGGGTGTGCATGCAGACTTTCTGAGTGTTTAAAATCCATATTGTCTTGCTTTGTAATGTGTACTAAAAAGCTTTCCATTTATTTTTAGGGCTTGGAACATTTTATAGAATTATGGCTTTTCCATTCCTTGGAAGTTTGAAGGAATTTATACTACAGCTATGTGTCCTCAGTACATTTTGTGAGATAAATTTTAGACATGTTTAAAAAGTTTATTCTATCTTTATTCACTATTCAACTTTTCTACATCTTTTTAGGGCATTGTTAGTATATTATATTTTCATAAAATATTACCAATTTTATTGAGGTGCAAACACTGGCACAGAATTGTAAATACAATTTAAATAACTATACCATATAGACTTTTAAAGGTTTATGTATTTTTGCTTATATATATGCTTTAACTTTTTATTTTTTTTAACTTCTGCCTTTCTTATATTAGACTATGTAAGGGGTTGCACATTCTACTTTTCCAAGAATTAGCTCCTGATTTTATTTATTTTTCTATTGTTTTCTGATTCCCTAATTTTTGTGTGTCCATAATGTTTAATAATCTGTCTCCCTTGCTTTACTTAGGTTTTTTTTTTAATGACAAAAACTATAATTCCAAGAAGTCATTACAGGAGAGCCTAGGCAATGATCTATCCTGGGACTAGGGAGAAGAGAGGAAAATATGTGAGTAAGTCAATGGATCACTTAGAGTCATGTCTGAATACGTAAGAAAATGATATGCTTCTAAGAGAAAGCAACCAGGATGTGATTCTAGATGAAGCCTGCAGTTCCAGGGCTTCTAAGTGGGATCTCATTCTTTTTATGTAGAGGAAGGTGCTCTGTGATCCTGAAGAGGATGAAGAACAGTTTTCAGCCAGGCCCTTTGCTTCCCTACTTCTAAACACTTAGTACATGCTGAGTACTGTGCCGAGTCATTTGTACGAACCATCTTATTCAAGTCTCATGACAACTCTATGAAATAGGAGTCATATCATCCCTATGTTTTATGGTGCGGGTGGGGTGGGGTGGCCAATAGAGTGACTCGCCCAAAGTCACATAGACAAGATGTGAGTCTAGGTGTGTCATACTGCAGAGCTTATGGTTTTAACCACTCTGAGATGCCACAGTTTTATCACTGCTGACCTTAATTGCTACAGCACAGTCTTAGCATTTAAAAGAGGGCTCGCTCAGAGGATCAATGATCAAAATGAACTTAAAGTACTATGACTCATTATGCCTATAGTGTTTCTCCTCGAAATCCTATCCATTTCTCATCTTAAAGCAAGCAAAAACAATTGCATAGAAAACAGTACTTGAACTGAACGTCTGAGCAGTCAGTATATTTCTCAGCTTGCCAGCCAATATTTTTATTATCAAGAGATAGGGAAAGGGAGAGAGTTGGGGGAGGCAGCTATTAGAAGAGAAAGGTGGCAGATGATAACTGAGATTACATCCAAATAATCTGACCTTGTAGCATGTTCAGACCCAGAAACATTTATGTTAAAACATTCATAGTCATTTTAAAAATTGAAATTAAAATGTCTAAGGATTCAGTCAATTTACCAGATGATACAGGTCTGTGAGCTTTATACTCTTGAAACAGTTTCCCTTGAGCCAATTCTCCCCCCCCCCCACATGCGAGAGAAGAATGAAATAAAAGGAAGGTAAAGTTGCAACTGCATTGAAGGTGATATAATGGGAACGTGGCCAGAGCCACCAAGAATGAATGACAGCAAACTTCAGGTCAAGCAATTTCTCTCTGGAAGTTCAGTCAGAGCAGCAGGAGATACAGGCCCAGGGGATTCCATTCCATTCTGATCTGAGTCTTTCCATCAGCGCCAGCGTCTACATTCAAGACCTTTTCTGAATAGACGCAACTCGCTGCATATTTTTTCAAGAGCACAGTAGCTGTTTTTAACATGTTAGCCAATCATGCCTGTTGATTTATGCCATTCACACATACTTAAAAAGTCTCTCTCTGTGTGTTTGTGTGTGTATATATATGTGTGTATATAATATACATATAATGTTTTTTTAAAAAATTCAGATACCAAAAAGCAAAAGCCACCTATAAAAGACAAGACCCATTTTCATAAGATTTTTATGCAGAACTCCATTCACTGTTTTTTTTGTTTTGTTTTTTTTTTTTTTTTGATTCTTCTATTGGTTTTATTACTAAGCAGATATGTTGTAGATGTTTAGGAATAAAATGAAAGAAAAGTATCAGTAGTCTTGGAAAACCAATCTGGGTTATAAAGAACCAGTCCCAGAAATGAATTTCATTTTCTCATAGTCGCTAAGTGTGTGATGTGGGCAAATGATAGCCTGTTTCAGTGAAAGTTCAGTCTTAGACTTCCAGGATCTCCCTTTGAAGACATTTGAATTGGATGATAGTACAGTGAGGTTAAGTTGCCACTGCTTTGGAAAATTATATTTAATCCATTCACTGTTTGGCTGAAACAGGACACCCCTGTTCCCTGCCCTCCCCCCCACCCCATAAGGCTGCTGGTGAATGCCCAGGAAGGGAGGAAAGAGGAGAAAAGGCAGACAGGAAATGATATTTAGTATCTGACAATTAAAAAGGAAGTCAATTCTGTACTTACAATAGCAGTCGGGGTGGCAGCCAGCACACAATAGAGCACCAGAGGGGTGATGAAGCTTTCTTCCTCTGTCCCTGGGTAAGGCTTCATTAAGTCTCCGTCCTGACAGAAGAATCCTTGGATATGCACCTGAAAAGTGTCAGTGCATTCGAAGTAGTAGGCAAGCAGCACTGTCCCAGCCATGATGACAAGCTGAAAATACAGCATGGCCACACAGAGACATTAGCAGGTCTTTGGAGCCGCGCTCGCCCCTCAGAGCACACTCCCTCCATCACCCCAGCAGCTCTCCTCTATTGGTATTGGCGAGTGTGTGCGTGCCTGGCTCAGCGTGCTCTGGGCTCGGGGCGTGTGTGCTTGCTTGTCTGCCTTGTAACATCTGTTGTAGAAGCCTCCCAGAAAATAATGAACGGCTCCCATCTGAAAGGCAGACCGCAGCAAGGCTTAGAGAGAGACCCGGCTTCTGCTGCCACCCTCTCAGAGGATGCATGGGAGTCAAGGCAAAATTTCCATTCAGGACAGAGGAGAAAAATCAAGGGCAGCAGCATAAGAAGTGGCAAGATGTAGATGTGAGATCTATTCATGAGAAAGCTCATGAAATAGTAGAGATAAACTTGCCTTATTATAAAATACTAGAGGCAGGTAAATCAGGAATGAATGAACAAATGCACAGGAAAGCTAAAACCTAGAAAGGTTAAGGGAAGTTTTCAGAACCGCGCCCTCGATTATTGGCAGGGATGAACCCAGTACAGGCAGCCTGGGTCAGTCACAGCTGTTACCTTTTCCCAAAAGGTTTTGCCTTTATTCCAAAATGCTTTCCACCAGGAAATTCAGGACTTTCCTGATAATATCTTATTATAGATACAGATCGTTCTTAAGGTTTAGACATAAAAAGGGACACAATTATCCTTTAATTCTGAGTCTCAAAAGTCTCTGATACTCACTGAGGTTTGGATGTAGCCTTTTGTAGGTATGGGAGGTTGAGGGAATATAGAAATGTCAATATTTGTTTTCTCATTCATATTTGGAAACACGAAAGTACCGGGAGAAGATGGTGATAAAGGTAGATATAAAACAGATTTTTGAGGTTATGAAATTACAGAAAATTATGCTGGATGGGTTCTTGGAGATCTTCCCAACTTAAACCTTTATATTTCACAGATGAGAAGGCTGAGGCCCAACAAGGGAAACTGACCCCTGCTGAATTATCCAACAAGTAAACTGAACATGTATTTATTTGATTATCAGCAAAGTAGGGAAACTAAAATGGAGAGAAAATATAATAAGGTGCTGATTTTTTAAAAAGTATCAAAAGAATCATTATGGAATGAAATCAGAACTCTGGAGGATGTCTTTGTACATCGATTATGGCTGAAAATGGTTTTTACTTGGAAGTACATATGGGTCAATGAGGGGGAAAGAAAGGTTTAGGAAATCCAAAGTTCTTATTCCAGCCCTAGAATGACTAACCTAAGGTCATGATAGCTAGTTTGTGTAAGTCTGGGACTAGAAACCCACATTTTCTGATCCTCAGGGAGTAAAAAGACATCTGTATCATGGCATCAAAATTTCATCCTATACAAAAGCTTGGGGAGTTATGGTGCGAAGGATAGGCTCAACTCTAATGGCAGTTTTACCTATTTCATATCCACTTCTTTAAAATTTTTTAAATGTTTTTTATTTTGTTTTATTTTTGAGAGACAGAGAGAGAGAGAGAGACAGTGTGAACAGGGGAGGGTCAGAGACAGAGGGAGACACAGAATCCGAAGACTGGACCCAGGCTCTGAGCTAGCTGTCAGCACAGAGCCTGACGTGGGGCTTGAACCCACGAACTGCGAGATCATGACCTGAGCTAAAGTCGGACGCTTAACCGACTGAGCCACCAAGGCGCCCCTCTTTAAAATTTTTTAAATGTTTATTTATTTTTTAAGAGAGAGAGAGACAGAATGTGAGTGGGGTCGGTGCAGAGAGAGAGGGAGACATAGAATCTGAAGCAGGCTCCAGGCTCTGAGCTGTCAGCACAGAGCCTGACATGGAGCTCGAACTCACGGACCTCGAGATCATGACCCGAGCCCAAGTAGGACGCTTAAATGACTGACCCAGCCAGGTGCCCCTCATATCCATTTCTTTAGCCACAACATTGCAGAGAAGCCTTACACCCTGCCCACTCTTTGAAACCTGGCATAGCCTCTACTTCAGGATATTATTTCGGCAGTTTCTCCTTCTTGTATCTGAAAGCATTCAGAAGCCTTGAGTTGTTATGCGTCGTAAGTACAAACTCCTATCTGTTCTGCTATAAAGGTCTTTACCTTTTGGCCTCACCCACTGCCACCTTCCTTTACCTTCAGATAGGTTGCAGATCATACTTTCCATTCACTGTCCTTCATACACAACTTGTCTCTGGTTGTCTAAGAACAATATTCTCCCATCTGGCATTTCTATCCCTCTTCCCCAGTGGATCTGCTGTCACAGCTGCTGACCATCTAGTAAACTCTGGACACTCCTGTGTGTTTCTCTGTACCTGAAGTTATTTATTGGCCTCATGTGTAAATCACCAGTGCTCAGGCCAGCCATCTCTGCTGTTTCAAGCACTTTATTTCTTTTCTTTTTTAGCCACAGAGAGATTTGGATTAGTATATTTCCTGTAAGAATGAGAGAGAGGTGCTCCCAAGCTGCCCTTGCTAATGGATGCTCCTGTTGGTCACTAGTTTATGAAGTCAAGGCCATGAAGTTTCTGTCTCTTTTGTGCTTCCCTGGTCAACTGAGCTGACCTGATGGGAAGGAACCTAGCCAGCTGACCTGAATGTTATGGAGCTGAGAAATCACTCTGATTGCAACAGTTTGGGGGCTTTACCTCCAGGGCTACCTGTGCCTCCTGCATAGGCCTGATCTGGGATTTCTTTGTATCTCCTCCGTGTGGCCGGAAACATATTTCTGTCTCTTGGCTTCATCAGACCTTGGGAAGTAGCTGCTTGGAGAACAGGCAGGATCTATGGAAGCTTTTGGATACAACAAAACCCCCAAATGGCATCTGGCCCCCTCTGTTGAGGACAAGTATCATATTTTACTGGGTGTCTTCGTACTACCACTTCCATTTGAAAAAGGTCAAGAGGAAAGTGAAAATATACATAGGTAAAAAGACTCACTAGAAAAATGGAGAATAGAAACTTTTAGAACACAGAACTGTCTTAACTTCAAATACATCAAAATCAACAATAATGACAACCACAACAAAAAGCTAACGTCAATATTCCTAAATTTGAAATCTAAAGAACAAACCTTGAATAGATGCTTAGCCAATTTAATCCTGGAAGCTGTATTCAGAGAGAAATGAATTAATGCATGAATCAGTTAATTGCAGGGCATAAAGTAAAGAACGGAGAACCTGGGAGGTGCGGGGTGGTAGAGGTAGGTGGGAACTTTGGAGCCTCACGGACAGAAGTGACCCATCACCATCAGTCTGTTCACCCTGATCAGGCTCTCTGACCAGCCAGGGACCCCTGCCTGTCATTTTCAAGAAATCCCCAAACTCCCTGGAGAGTCCCCGGTTATGCCAGTTACAGACACACAGAAGCAAAAACAGAACAATTCAGATCTTGATTTCCAGGTTTCTTTTCTATTGCACATTCTCTCGTGACCACATATTTAAAAAAAAGCTTTGCATTTATTGCAGGAACAGAAATACCACAGCTCTGCTTCCACGAACAGAGAGGTCCGCCTTGCCGCTCTGATGACAACATACAATTAGCCACCAGCATCCTCCCTTCTTCCTCTCTGTCCTGGGCCATGATTCATCACTGTCTAGGTTTGTGTCACTGGTGCCAGCTGGCACACTCGCCATCTCCGTTGCCTTCCCAGCCCCATTTAGGGATGCATGGAGGGAGGCCATAATGTTGGTGTCACATGAGCAGATGGCAAGGCTGTGCTGGACCCAAGTGCTGGTGGAGGGTTGATGATATCGGTGTGAAAGGCGCAATTATGGCTGTGGGGGGAAGGAATTCATGTACCACTGGTTTCCCTCAGCTTCAGTTCCCAATAATGACAATCTGATATTCGAAAATGCATTAAATCCTGACCCATCTGCAAGGATTCAGAAGGCAAAAGACAGTGATATCTGAAATCCTGCCTCTCAAGGCTGAGAGACCTGTGTTTCTCTCCTCCACTGATTAGAGAAAAGTAAATGTCACAAAGAATGATAATGGGGAGATGTCACAAAGCTGAGGAAAAAGGCTCAGATGACAGTACATTTTCCTTTGGTCTGTCAAGTCTGGGGCAATTGTGGACCACGAGTTTATATGACCTGATATAAGCTGTGAGAGTGGGAGAACATGGGGTGCCTGGGTGGCTCAGTTAAGTGTCTGACTTTGGCTCAGTTCATGATCTCATGGTTCATGGGTTCGAGCCCTGCACTGGGCTCTGGGCTGAAACTGCAGAGCCTGCTTGGGATTGTCTCTCTTTCCCTCTCTTTCTGCCCCACCTTAAAATAAATAAATAAATAAATAAATAAATAAATAAATAAATAAACTTAAAAACAAAAAGAGCAGGGGAACAGGTATTGATGGTATGACTCATGAGAGCAAGTGAATATGAGTGTGTGTGTTGTGGGGGAGCATGTGGGCAGACATGTGAGGCTGGAAAATGAGTGGGCTGGTATCTGGTCTAGAATGGTCAGGCATATCTGAAACTGGGGAGCCTACTCTAGGTGACCAACTATCTCAGTTTGCCCAGAACTGAGGGGTCTCAGGGGCCACAGGACGTTTCAGTGCTAAAACCGAGATAGTCCTAAACTAACTGAGGTGCTAGGTCACTCCACCAGAGGCAACGAATGTTTCCCTCCCCAAAGAGGTCTCTCATTCTGGTTTTGTCAGGACCTATCAAGACTATCGCAGATGACTCAGTCAACCCACAACTGTGGGAGCCGCCTCTGTGTTCAGTCCTGAACTAAGTGCTGTGAAGGTGCAGGATCCTCAGACACGCTCTCTAACCTCAAGCAGCTGGTGATCCAGCCAGAGAATGCTCGCCAACACAGGAAGCAGACAATGATCTGTAGATCTGAAGGAGGGGGTCAGTGGATCTCAAGCTGGGGTCCACACATGGCTGCCTGTGCCTGGTGAGCTGGCAGGGAGGGAGTCGGCAGAAGAGTATGTGAAGGGCTGATGCCTGGAGAAAAGAGTGCAAGGGGATGGACAGGGCTG